TCCGTTCATATTTAGAAATCCCTACAGTAGTTTGGGGAGAGGAATTAAACGACAGGCCTTGGAAAAGCGGTCTATGACGGTGAGTATTGTGGTGTTGTTATTGGACTTGGGGAGGTCAGTGATGAAGTCAATAGCCAGATGTGACCATGGTCGGTGGGGAACTGGTAAGGGGTGCAACAAGCTGGATGGTAGGTGTCTGGGGGATTTACTTTCGTTACAGGTAATGCAACTGTAGATAAAGTCTATAGTGTCAGTCCTCATGGTTGGCCACCAGAATTTGTTCTGGAGCAGATGGAGAGTGGCCGTAATCCCAGGATGACCAGAGCTGAGCCCCGAGTGAACGTGTTGCATGACCCTTTCACAGAGTTCCTGAGGAACAAAGATCTTATCGGGAGGGCATTCGGGAGGGGAGGTTTCTTGTGAATTGGCCTGTTCAAGCTCTGTCATGAAAAGAGAAACTCCCATTCACAAAATTTAAATCACAAATAATACTACTGATGATAAGAACGGGTTGAATGTTAACCACTTTCGTTTCCATATAACTATAAACTATGATAAAAGTTCATCAGCATGCACTGGATAATCCCATGTTGTAGAGCAAAAAAAAAATATATAAATATTGCGACTAAATCATGTGCTCGTGCGACCAGCTGAGAAAGTTAGTTGCAAAAGAGTGACCAGTGGGAAGAATGAGTCTGGAGCCCTGATATGCATTATACAGAGGCAAGAGGAAAAGAAAAAATACCATCGAAAGACAGTAAGTTCCCCTCAGACATACATTATGAGTCTGGAGCCCTGTATAGGCTATACAGTGCATGAAAAGCAAACTGGTGCTCTTCTGTTTCTTTTGGTGTATGACTCCCCCTTGTCTCGTCTGAAACAACCGCGGCTAGATCAAATAATCGCGATTAGACGGTTATTTAATTATCGCGACAGGCCTAATAATGAGGTCAAATAATACATTTACTATAGGATCTAGAAAAGAAATCTGATCATGATAAAACCAGAAAATCACAAATTAAGTGAACAACAATTATTTCTAACGCTTGGGCTCCTAAACATTAGATCACTCACACCTAAGGCGGTTATTGTAAACAAATTGATCACAGATAATAGTTTTGATATACTCTGCCTTACTGAAACCTGGCTTAAACCTAATGATTATTTTGGTCTAAATGAGTCTACTTCTCCAGGCTACTGTTATAAGCACAAGCCCCGTCTGATTGTTCGTGGCGGCGGTGTCGCAACGATATATAGAGATATTATTAATGTTACTCAGAAAACAGGACATTGTGGTGGCTTCTGCCGCTGCTGTGAGGAATCATTCTTAAATTGTATTATTCAGAGACAATAAAACCGAGAAAGATCTGCAGAACAATCTATAGAGTCTGTGTCTGTACTCTCTTTTATACAGTGCTTCCCGAAGGCGTGCCCATGTTCATTCAATACATTTCATACATATGGTTATTGTTTATCAACTCTTTTACCTCTTTTGGCTGTGTCTCCAGCAATGTTGGGCAAAGTTACTTTTAAACGTAATGCATTACAATATTGCGTTACTCCCTAAAAAAGTAACTAATTACGTTACTTAGTTACTTTTTATGGAAAGTAATGCGTTATATTACTTTTGCGTTACTTTCGCGTTACTTTTTAAATATAAGCAGGGCTTGATTGTTTTTAATATAAGAAGTTCTATTTATAGCAAATATAAAAGCCCTTTCACACCAAAAAGTGTAATGAATAAACCTCAGGCTGAAGCAAAAGTAAATTCACGTCTGTACAGTAGAACGCAGGAGAAGAAACACTCTTCAGCAATAAAAAAAACAAAGCACAATTGTTAGTTTCTCTAAAGTCATTTGTGCTTATTAGTATGGTTGAACTGGATCATCAAAGGTCAACAGCAAAGACATTGGTTAATAAAATGGGATTAGATACATTTGTGTTATTTAACATATTTAATTATTGCAGGTTTGCGTCATATTCTGAGTTTGCATTTCACTGTTTTAATTCATTTTGATGAATACTAAATCTGTTTTTTGTGAGTGGGATGAATTAATGCACATTCACATTTAGTCTAGAACTACAGTAACATCATGTTCACACAGCGCACACAACGCCTCTGCACTCCCGATTTCTCCCAATATGGGGACAGGAGACTTGTCAGTCAATAAATGGGAAAACAAAGTAACTGGCATTACTTTTTTGAAAAAGTAACTCAGATATTTTCTTGTAAATTAAAAAAGTAATGCGTTACTTTACTAGTTACTTGAAAAAAAGTAATCTGATTACGTAACTCAC